TTCTGGCAGCTAATTCAAAATTTTCAGTAGCACTGTTAAGTTAAAAGCAACACTTCTTCAGCCCAAAGACCACCAGTTTGCACCCTGGGTCTTAGGTGGGAGTCTAGCAAAGCACAGAGTCGGGGGTCTGGTGGCTCCAACTTGGAGCAACTCCAGGGCAGGAAGGAAACTCCTCTACTAGCGAAGTCATCCTTGATTCTTTGGGTGCCAGAAGGATCTGGATCATGATTTGGGGTGACCCGATATGTTGCTATCTGATTTTGGTACATATTCATTCATTCATTAAACATTAGTAAATGCCTTCTCTGGCTGAGACACTGGTCTACTTAGCTTAAAAATAGCTCCCATCTGGACAACTTTTTAGGGACTTCCAGTCTGATGGGACTTTGATGGCCTTTACACTGTGAGGTACAGTGGCTCCTGTGATAATGGTAACCTGGGATGAGCCCAGAATAGGTACATCGGATTGGTCAGAGCATCATTTGGACGCATTTCTGAGCTGGTAATGGAAAGATGTCATTGAGGTCCTCTGCTTTATCTAGAATATCTGTTTGGTGGCTTTGCAGGGTGAGTATTTTCTCTTTTGGAAGAAGGTATTCTGTTTCATGCCTGGTCTTTCATCTTCAACATGTTGACCCTGAAACCCTTTTTCAACTAAGAATCATCATCTTTCTGCTATGAAAGCTGTCCTCTAGGTGGTGCCATTTGCAGCTCTCTCAGTCTCCCTGGGGCTGCTTGCCTGACTTCCCCACCAGCAAGGCCTCTACTCCTTGGCCAGACAGCTGTGCCAGCAAGCTCTCGCAGGATGTGCAGTGCTGCAGGCTGACTTCTAATTGTTCTTTCAGGTGACCCCTACTCCTTCGGGCTGCTTTGAATGGATAACTGCTCCTTCTTCTGAACTCCTCCAGCAATCCATTCTCCATACTGTATGTTAGCAGCGAGTGCTTCCCATTTCACATTGTTGTTTATTCTTCTGTGCATGTGGACTGTCTGCCCAAATAGATTATTAAGCCTGTAAGGGCCTTGTCTGCCTCAGGCGTCTGGCAGAGTGCACTGCCTGGGACAGCAGTCTGTGAGTGTGTGTGCTGTGGATGCAGGTTCTGGTATTCTTTTGTTTATTCATCACTCACTGAGAAACTGTTCAGGGCTAGGCACTCTTTTGGGTGCCCAGAAAACAGTTATGAAAAACAAGGTCCATGCTCTCAAGCAGCTCCGAATCTCATGAGAGAGAGAGAGGAAGGGAGCGAGAGAGAAATCGACAATTACAGCCGTACAGTGCACGCTGTGAACAGCCACGCTAAGTGACTCTGGGAACAGAAGTGCAAGCTTTTCCTTCCCCAGGAGCTCCTTGTAGAAGAGTATGGCCTTTCCACTCTTTTACTCTAGGATCACTCTTAGAGACTCAGCTATGCCTTTTGATGCTTTTCTTTTCCAGCACCCAAGGAACAGGGCCATATGATCATGGGGATAGGTATCTGTCTCAGGATACCATAGAAGAGGTGACAGTCTTCCCATTTTCCTCTGGTGTTCAGTGCTCCTAGGGTTTTGTGGTTGGATTTTCAGCTATCTAGTAATTGCCCTTGAATCCTCAAAATGGTTTATCATCTTACTGGGGGTGATTTGGAATTGCTGATTTACTGTTTAGTGGTGTGGATACACATTTATTGAATACCTATTCATTCTTTAAGACGCATCCAAAAGTTCCCTTTCCTGTGAAGTCTTCTCCAGTTCTCCTAAACAGAATGAATTATTCCTTCCTTTTTATACCTTTATATTGTTACTTCTATGCCAACTTTAATATAAATTGATTTCATTTTGTCTTTTACTATAGCTGTGCAAAGCCTCATAATGATATAAGACTATAAGCCTATTGAGGGCAAGGACCATATTGTATTCATCTTAGTATCCTCCCTCTTCCTGCACTTTTACCTTAGTTATTTACGCATAGTAGGCAATGAATGTTTGTTGATTTCATGAACTGGGACTGGTAACATGATCCATGTTTAGTTGCATATTTTAGAGTATTTGCTTCTAAAACATGGTCCACAACTGCAGTAGTTTCTTCGTAGATTTTGTTTGCTTGACTTAGGTTGTATGAATATTTCCTTGGCAAATCCTTTCCAGATATATATGCAAAGGTTTCTGGATAGATCTGGGCTCAGACTTGGAATTTTCTTTTCCTGTTTCCTTCTTGACATCTGTATATGGCTTTATCACTGTCAAGTGTTGGTTTTCCTTACGTCCTGATTTCTTCCCAGTACTTGAAGGAACATCCTTCTATTGATTTGTCTTATCCATTCAAATATCTAAGTGCCAAGGAATGCCCCTGATGCTAGGGATACAGGGGTGACAGAACAGACTTTGACTGTATCTACAATCTATTGAAACAGTTTAATTCCTTTCATCAAAAAATAGGTCAATTGAGTCAAAATGGATTACCTGATAGCTTCATGGCACAGTTTGAGAGACATTTTCAAAAATCTCAGGGGATCCTTGGCTAGGAAACCAGACACTTGAAGCTTCCTGACTGTCATGTGATCTTCTGGTGTTTTGTCTCTCTCTGAAGCTCACATATATCCATCTATTAGAGGATGCAAACTTATAATTAAGTTTTTCCCCTGAAGCCATTTAAAATTTCTGCATATTGAATTTCAATCTTCAATTTCATTGGTCATTTACTTTTAAACTTCACAGCAAGTCTAGTGGCTTTTTGTAGGCATTCACATGAAGGGGGGTGAGGGTTGTCCTTTCTGCTCTTTTGGCCAAGGTGAAATGTAATCATTTGTAGGCCAAATATCCTTTTAAAAAGGGAGCCTAAAATACAGATCTTATGTCTCGATGACTTGATTGATCTAAGCTCTGGCTTAGAGTGAGTGTGTGTGTGTGTATGAAGGGTAAAAGGTAATGGCAAATGAAAGAAGGTAGTCACACAGCTGTGGTTCAGGAAGCTTATGTGCACTCTTGACCTGTGGCAATAGTACAATCATGACCTTACTTTACACCCTGGATCAGCAGGTTGCACCAGAGACATCTCAGAGAAAACACAAAATGTGTAAAAGAGATTCCATTCTTAACATATAATTTACTCTCAAGACCTCAGGTTCCATTAAGGCAGAAAGCAGTATGAGTTTCACGTCTTGTAGCTATTAGATCAAAAAAAAAAAAAAACCTGAATGAGCAAGGAGATATTTTTGGCCATTTATCAGTCGTATATCACAACAAAATAAGGAAACAACAGTTTTAAGTAGTCTGCAACGCAAGTGTAAAAACAAAATACTAGATGAAACTTTGCCCGGGCGATCTTGGCTTTCCCATTTCTCTCTTTTGTTCTTTCCTTTTATTTTATTCCACATTATTTTGCATTTTCCCAGAAGTCATCCATAATTCAGTCTCGGTCTAGAAGGGTCAATTCGATTACTTGGCTGTTAAACATCGTGTGCCTTTTCAAAAATAGACGAACGCTTGTAAAAAACAAAACAAAACAAAAACACCTTCCATGGCATGAAAAGTTGGAAGCTATCAGGAGGCTCTTGGAAACCTGGGCAGCTTCATTTTTCTGCTCAGGATTTAGATTTCTATCTCCAGGAACTTTGTGGCCAGTTTTGCCGGTTAAGCTCCCCCCACCCCTCCAGCAACCAGTGACAATTCCTTTTCCCCAGTCGCACTTCAAGAGGGTATCTTATTTTCTGCGACTGAACTGGGGTCAGAGGTGACGCGAGATACTTGCTAACCGCATGGCGTTTTAGGAATAGAGACGGGAGACAACACTGAAGTGGCTGAGAGCGGCCCCGGGGGCTTGACCGGCGCTGCCGGGAGGGGGGTCCCGAGTGCCGCGGCCGCCCGCGGGTAGTAGGACGGGGGTGCGCGGCGCCAGGGGGGCAGGGGGTGCGCGGGGCCGAGTCCCGCGACTTCCCGGAGGGCCGGGGCTGCGTTCCGGGGCTGGTGGGCTGAAAGGCAAGCGG